ATTTTCCTTTAGTAGTCCTAAATAACATCTTCATAAGATGGATACAAGCAAACACAATGCACACACATGTTCAGCCAGTGTACTTGAGATCAGGCTGTTTCTCGTACCTTGAGTCTCTCTCTCAGGCTGTCTCTCTCTGTGGTCATGCGGTGGAGGTCTGCTGTGGCCTCATCTCGCTCGGCCTCCACTCGTTTAAGGATACTCTGTGCAGTCACACTGCTCTTGGGCCCTCGTGCGGCCTTTGACATCATGACCTCCCGTCGTAGAGCTGCTATCTCCTCTTGAGCCTGCAGGGGGAGTCAGGGCACATCTGAGGCCACATTGTTTAGTGAAATACTGGCAATATATTTATTAGTCAGTGCTTTTCTTCTGTGTAATAAAATGTTAAAAATTAAGTGTGTTTGCAAAATTAAATAATTATGTATTTATATTAGATATATTTATATAAAATATCCAAATATATAATTATTTGTTGACACAAATGTGATGCATGTACTAAAAAAAGCTAAAATATTCAATTAATATTGTTTTATTAATTTCATATTTTAATTTATATTAAATTAAATCATTGTTTTACTGTACACTGTTTTTGTAATGAAGCCAAAATAATTTAGTCAAATATTATCTGGCAAATAATACAACTAATAAATATATAGGCTATATTTACATTTACATTTAGTCATTTAGCAGACGAGGACAATGGAAGCAATCAATAAAAAATAAAAATACAAATATTATTTTATTAATTTATATTTTTAATTCATATACAATTAAATAATTGTTTTTACTGCATACTGTTATTGTAATGAATACAAAATGATTCAAATAGAATCTGGCAAATAATACTAATAAAATATAGAAACATAATCATTTGACCAAAAGGATGCAAAATGTGATGCAAAAATATTGTGTTAAATGAATACATTGTTGGTTGTCTTAATTTAATAATTTATTTAATATAAAATAAAATAATTGTTTCTAACCGTATATTGTTATTGTAGTGGAGCCAAAAACAAATGTTATCTGGCAAATAATACTACTAATATTTATATTATGTATTTACATAAAATATATACATATACTTTTTTGATCAAAACAAATCAAATCAAACAGCTTATTTGATCAAAACATAGACATTAAAAATACATTGTGCTAAATAATAAATTAAATAATATTTTAATCATTAAAGAATCATTTTGTAAAATCTTTTATTGTCTGTACCTGCAGGTTAAATATCAGTCACACTCAGACAGTCAATACTCAGAATTAACCATGTGGACTTCTTTGTTTTATTCTATGTGTGTCATCCCAAAACGAACACAACAACCTGAAGAATTCTGGGAGGTTCGGCGCTGTCTACCTGCTGGTAGTGCGTTCTGGTCTTGTCCCGTTCAGCTGTGAGCACTTTAACATTGACCTGGATCTCTGAGAGGTGCCGCTCGTGTTTCTCCATCATGTTTTGTAGCTCATCTCTTTCTCGTAACACCCTCATTAGCTCTGAATCGTACGTGCCACCCTTTAAAAAGAGAGACATAAAAAAGAATTAGCAGAATGAAAAGAAACTAGTCTCACTGATATGACTGCACCGATGGCTTAGTAGTACTTTAACAGGTGAGTGTCTGGTGGGACTGCGCTGGGTAGATGCCCCCTTGACGGGGCTGGTAGAGCGACGAGCCCTCAGCATCCTTCTCAGTGCCTCGGCCACGTCAGCTGGATCAGATCATTGAGAAATGGAGAAATGATCTAGTAATATTAAGGAAAATGTGACATTGGAGACTAAAATATTATTGTTGCATTTCTGGCCTACAGCTCACCTAAACCTGTTCAGGCTTTCTGATCCAGTTTTGACGGTTTATGGTGCCACCTGCTGGATCCACTGTGTTACTACAATCTAATCGAATTAAAATTCAATGAAACAAAGCAAATCTTTGGAGCATCTCTGGAGCATCTGTGCTCAGTTGACTAAATGTTTTAGCAGTCATTAGTTTGTGCTCTAGTTTGGGTCTATGTATGAAAGCAAAGTCACTTAATTCACAATAAGAAATCTTAATAAGAAATGTTGATGGGTATCGATAGCTATACATTTCAATAAAGCATCACGACATGTTTATACCGAAACGTCTTGATTCGACTCACTAAAAACAAGTTTTCTCAAGCAAAATGTATAAAAATAAACCACAGCGCCGACAGGTTGTCATGGCAACTGAGATACTAGGTTTGCACGTCACTGAAAATGCGTCCCGCGCAACAACTATACTTGAATTCCTTTTTAAGAACATAACATAAAATTATATTGCATTTTAACATTTAATGATAATTGATAATTGTTGGCAAGCCACAACATCCACTAAAAGTAGGCTGCTTTGCACTGACACCAATATGTTTGTATTACACCTGCACATAAAATCCTTCACACGAAATAACTGTAAATTCGAACCTCGCATTGACGAAAAGCTGCAAATACATTCTGCTTTCATGAAAGACAACGCAGAAGACAAAGCATTGTTTGTGTAAGTTAGCTTGTGTTACCTCTTGTAGTGGTTCTGGCAAAGGAAAACGAGCGTGTTGAAGTAAATCTCAACACGTTAAAGCTCTTTAGCCGGAGGGATAAACGTCAGCATTGACCAATCACAACACAGCATTGACCTGTCAGTCAAGATAGTCAGAGAGGCGGCGACCAATCAGAGCTCAAGCTCCCTCCGTTTGCGTCCGTTGCCTTGACTACAAGTTGTGAACGCTCACGTTCAGTAGTTTTTAAGTTGAAGAGATGAAGCAACGAAGCGGAACCAAGTGAAATAAATATAAACTAAAACAAAACAAAACTATATGTGACTCTGGAGCACAAAAGCAGTCTTAAGTCGCTGGGGTATATTTGTAGCAATAGCCAACAATACAGTGTATGGGTCAAAATTATAGATTTTTCTTTTATGCCAAAAAATCATTAGGATATTAAGTAAAGATCATGTTCCATGAAGATATTTGGTAAGTTTCCTACCGTAAATATATCAAAACTTAATTTTTGATTAGTAATATGCATTGCTAAGAACTTCATTTGGACAACTTTAAAGGCGATTTTCTCAATATTTAGATTTTTTTCACCCTCAGATTCCAGATTTTCAAATAGTTGTATCTCAGCCAAATATTGTCCTATCATAACTAATTGTCCTTATTTATTCAACTTTCAGATGTATGAATGTATAAATAATAATAAATAAAAAAACCTTTATGACTGGCTTTGTGGTCCAGGGTCACAATTTGTGGGAAAATATCAATATAATTGTGTATGAACAAAAAGACTATACATAGTTATTAGTCTTCTGTTAATTGTGTTCAAAATTAAAAACTATACACTGTAAAAACGTTTTTTTTTTTTTAAAGCCGTAAATAAAAGTTATTGGAGTACGTTTTCCAAGAAAACAATAGCTCAGTTCTTCCACTTCAGAAGTTCACGTTTAATTAAATGTGTTACTTCTCGTTACATTGTAACCGTTTGTGAAACATACCAGCAATTTCTGAATAAAAGCTCTTTTTTTCCAGTGTATTTGCGTGTAATTTAAAGGGATAGTTCACCCAAAAATGAAAATGTGATGTTTATCTGCTTACCCCCGGGCCATCCAAGATAAAGGTGGCTTTAGCCCTATTCGCACGGGATTAGTATTACCTGGTGACCTCCAGTCATTTGTAATAATTGCGGAGGTTGTCTGTGATCTTAATCCCATGCGAATCGGCCATGTGTGTAATTTGTAAAGTATAAATTCCCCCGCAAAAGACCTACCATATTTCGCCGAACACCGAGGTCCTATGATAATATTAGTCCTGTGCAAATTGGCATTTCTGTGATTTGGCCATCATTTGGAGGGTCGTATATAATTTTTCGAGGTTTTTGTTTCCTGTGCGCTAGTAAATTCGAGTAAAATCACAGGCTTCACTTATCCCGTGCGAATGCACCACACGAAATTCAGATGTGGGGGGGTAATTTCAAAAATCACACAAGGTCCCCAGATAGTACTAATTCCGTGCGAATAGGGCTTTTGTTTCCTCAGTAGAACACATATGATGATTTTTAACTTTAACCGTTGCAGTCTATCAGTCGTATAATGCATGGCAATGGTAACAAAATCTATGAGAGTAAAAAAATCATGCACAGACAAATCCAAATTAAACCCTGCGGCTCGTGACGACACATTGATGTCCTAACACACGAAACGATCGGTTTGTGCCAGAAACTGAACAGTATCCGGTGCGTGAGGTGTGTACACGCTCTGGCGTAGTTTACGCAAGCGCCGGAAGTGATCTCTCGTGCGTATACGTCACTCATTGTTTACACAGTGCACGGTCATTGTAGGTACGACGGCTAATCAAAATGGTACTTACTTGCGCTTATCCGGATTGTTCAAACCGACTTAAAACTAAAAGATTACGTTCTCTCGCGCGAACTCATTCGGGAGTGGCGACTTTCCACTTATTCCCAACTTCTGAGCCTGCTTGCCTGAAGTTATGGTTGACTGCTCTTCGGCTGGATATCAACACACCTATTAACGTAAACTACGCCAGAGCACGTACACACCTCACGTAATGAATGCAGTGCGCGCGCACAAAGACAGATGGACATAGTGGTGTATTAGAGGTAAAATATTATATAAATACTGTTCGGTTTCTGGCACAAACCGATCGTTTCGTGTTTTAGGACATCAATGTGTCGTCACGAGCCGCAGGGTTTAATTTGGATTTGTCTGTGCATGTTTTTTTTACTCTCATAGATTTTGTTTTCATTGCCATGCATTATATGACTGACAGACGGCAACGGTTAAAGTTAAAAATCACCATATGTGTTCTACTGAAGAAACAAAGTCACCTACATCTTGGATGCCCCGGGGGTAAGCAAGCAGATAAACATCAAATTTTCATTTTTGGGTGAACTATCCCTTTAAGGCTCGTGGACGCGCACAGCGAGCGACGCCAATCCGCTGGATTAGAGGAGGCGCGCGCACGCACGCACGCACGCGCAGGAGGCGCATAGTTTCTCCAAACAAAAACTGTTGTGCGTTTTCACGCGTTTGGAGAGGTTTCGCTTTTAATGCAGGAGCGGAGGATGTACGATCTGTGAGGACTGTGATTGTACCGGAGATACAAACATTTGATCAGCCTCTTGTCAGAGTTGATTTAAAGACAAAGAGAAACAACTAGCTGTTTTTACGGATCAGATCCATGAAACTCCGAGGAACAGCAACAACCTCATGGTTTACCTCGAAAGGATGTATTCATCAAGATCGCCTTTACACCATTGCACGCAGTAGATTAATGCATTTTAATGATTTATTTTTATTTTGAAAATACGATTTTCTGGACTTCAGCTCTCAGAGCAAAGAATAGCTCGAATCAAGAATCGTCTTTGTCTGTGCATTATTGCATTGGCATACTGATCACTAAATGACTGCTAGTGTAACACACCAAGCTCTCCAATTATAACGTGCAAAGACGAACATGTCAACACTGTTTCCCGATTAGACAAGAGACTGAATAGTATTGGATTGCAATGGGAATGCAATAGCAGTTGCATTGATTTGCGATTGTTTAGACATTCATTGAAAGAAATCTCCCTTTGTCAACCGACCAGAGAAAGAGACGTGTGGGAACTGGCCATGTCCTTCTTTAATTTCCGAAAAATCTTTAAATTGGGCGCAGAGAAGAAGAAGAAACACTATGATCACGTGCACAGGGACACAAATCCGGAGGAAATCTGGGAGATTGTGGGAGAACTGGGGGATGGAGCCTTCGGAAAGGTGTTCAAGGTACTGTATAAACAAAGAAGTTGATGAATCTTCTCTTGCTGTAAGAGTTGGTATCTGTTTTATGCGATTGTTGGACCCCAATGGTTTTCTTATGAATGGAATATAGGGTTACCTACATGTAATGCACTTATAATGGAATTGCTCTATTGATATCTATCTATCTATCTATCTTGTAATAAAAACAAACAAGCAAGCCCTGTCCAGATTTAAAAAGTAACGCAAAAGTAACGTAATGCATTACTTTCCATAAAAAGTAACTAAGTAACGAAAGTAGTTACTTTTTTCTGGAGTAACTCAATATTGTAATGCATTACTTTTAAAAGTTACTTTCCCCAACACTGGTTATAAGGCTTAATGGTTCTTAGTTTGTTAGTGGCATAGGGTGATTTGGAGATTAAGTGTAAGGCGGCCATAATGTCTATATACAGTCAAACACCGGCGTTAGTACTTCTTCATGCTTCCAACAAGTATGATGGCGATGGTTTGTAAATAGTAGTATTATAGTCAGCTCGCTAATGATTATTTGGATTGAGGTCCTGGGGTTTTAGGACAGTGGGTTTTGTTGATTTACAGCCGTCACAGTGAGGTTTTGTGTGTTGTTGGAGCTCCACCACTATGGGCACTAAACAGACAGAATAATGACTGTTTTCAGACAAGTTTCCCACTTTTTCAGTCTACCATGGTTTGGACAAATATATTCACCAGCCATAAATATGTTAAAGAAAAGATTGTTTCTTTTTAGACTGTGGCTTTAGCACCCTTAAAAATTAGACTGTGTAAATTTTTTTTTTACAAAATATTTGCTTAAATTAGAAACACTTGATTTTTTTTAAAATAATTTTTAAAGCTCACTTTCAATACTATTAATATTTTTTGTCGTTGTATTAATTTATATTTTATGAAAAATTTGTATTTGCATTACAAATTGTATATGTATTTTTGTTTTATTGAATGTAAGTTTTACATGGTCAAAGTTTGAATTCTGAAAATGAAATGTCTTGATAACATGTCAAATACATCAAAAACAACTAAGGCTGTGCAATTAATCGCATTTGCGATTGTCAAGCGCATCTCGTCAGTAAAGCCGGTCCCGTGATTAGTAGTAAATCTCCATCACCTGCTTTCAGATGGAGCGGCATTTAATACACAGAGCCGTGGTTCACTGACAAGCTAGGCGATATCGTGTTCATAATTGAATGCGATATATCTGCGATTATGAACGCGATATTGCGTAGCTTGTCAGTGAACTACGGCTCTGTGTAGTGCATGCCGCTCCATCTGAAAGCAGGTGATGGAGATTTACTACTAATCACGGAACCGGCTTTACTGACGAGATGCGCATGACAATCGCATGCGATTAATTGCACAGCCCTAAAAGCAATTGCATCACACATAATGGCAAAATGCAATCAAAAACCACTGCACATTCACAATCATCCTGCAATAAACCGCAGACTTTGACCTGGTTAATTTTTCACTACTGAATCACGTTAGCTTCTAAATACTTTAGATAACCACTCACTTACAGAAGCCGTACATTGGATCGAATTGTTCTGTGACCTTCATTGCTCTGCACTGCAGAAAGACTCATTACTGTGAATGACACTGAATAGGATTTCTGTTGAAGGGTGGACTTCGTCACGCTGACTGCATGAGTCTAATTAATAGTTTTTTTTCCTCCAAAGTGCTTGTTTTGCTAGTTATTAAAAGAGATCTACACATAGTCTACACATGTATTTTTGTATGTCATGCCTCAAACATTTATGTCTGATTCATCAGGTAGTTTAACATCAGAATGTGTACAATAAACAATAACCTAATAAAAATCAACATAATTTGATACCATTAATACAGATTTTCATTCTCATCACTAACAAAATATTTGTTGAAATGAAGTCTTGCTCTTTTTTTAATGTTATATTGTACACACCCTAAACTGGTTTACTTGTATGATTGATATTTTAGAGGGCTATGTATAAATAAACTTGAAATATAACTTTCTTTTTATTCAGGCTCAAAACAAGCAGACAGGCATTTTTGCTGCTGCAAAGGTGATTGACACCAAAACTGAAGATGAGCTGGAGGACTACATGGTGGAGATCGACATCTTGGCATCATGTGATCATCACAATATTGTCAAGCTGCTTGACGCGTTTTACTACGAGAGCAAGCTGTGGGTGAGTGTGGATTTAGTTTGTTTCATTGTTTCCTTGTTGCACAGATTTTGTTTTGATTGTGTTTTCCACAGCAATTTTACTTTTAAAAAAGATTATTAGGCCCATCTTGTTTAATGTTAATCTGCTTCATATTGCATGGTGACTAGATCATCATCACCCTTGTTTTCTACAAGAAAAGACATTGGACAAAGGAATAGTAGACAATCCTGCTTGATTTCTTATAGACTCGAGCCATTTCCTTCCGACGCAGTGGAAGTTTACAACAAGGTTGAAGTGGCCTCAGACAGCTTTCCGGTCACTTCAGTCCAGCTTCACTTCAGTATGTTCTTTAGAAACTTGGAGTTTCAAATAATAATAACATGCACAAATTTTTATCCTTCATTTTGACTCTGTCCCAAATGGCACATTTCATGTGCACTTTCGGTCTTGAGGACTTACAATGGCCACTGTGTGCACGTGTCCGCTGTTTTGGTTCTGCTGATTTTCAGCATCATTACTCCAGTCTTCAGTGTCACATGATCCTTCAGAAATCATCCTAATATGCTAGAAACATTTCTGATTATTATCAGCTGTTGTGCTGCTTAACATTTGTCGAAACCATGATTTGTTTCAGGTTTTGAGGAATAGAAAGCTCAAAAGAACAGCATTTATTTGAAACATCAAATAATATAAAATAAATTTAAAGTGTCATTGCTAAAAGAAAATGTGTTAATTTCTTGGGAAAAAATCTTATTGATGCCAAATTTTTGAATGGTAGTGTAATATACTGGGGCTGCAAAACGATTAATCATGATTAATCATTCAAAATAAAAGTTTATGTTCACATACTATATGTGTGTGTACTGTGTGCATTTATTATGCATATATAATTTTTTTAATATATCTGTATATATATATATATATATATATATATATATATATATATTTATACTTGTATCTAATTTATAATATCTTTAAATCTAACATATTTTTCCTTAATATGTATGTGTGTGTATTAATATATACTTAATAAATATACACAGTGCTCACACATATATTATGTGAACAAAAACTTTTAATTTGAATGTGATTAACCATTTTGCAGCCCTATAATACACAATTTAAATGATTTTTCTAGTGCTTAATTGACAGTGTCATACTGCCAAACATTTTAAGGGCCATCAAATTATTTTAGTTTGATTTGAAAGTGAATATGACCTGGACATGGTCTTCAGATGTTTCATGAGATTTACCAGAAAAGCAAGTCTAGAATCAAAGTCAAAGCATTTTCTCACAGTGAGCTCAGGCATTGTTAGTTTACCTCTCCTCTCAGTCAGTGCCTGTTTTCTTCATCTGCCTCATTGTGCACTGAACAGTATGTACTGGGAGAGGTGTGCATATTTTACTCTGATCCTGCTGAGAACCAGGAAATGGACTGATATTAACCTCACCCATTTTCGTATGAAGATATAGGAGGGCTTTGATTTAGCTGTGATTCAAGGAATGTTTGAACTGGATTATTCATCAGCCATTTAGAGTTTAAAGGAACACACCACTATTTTTGAAAATAGGCTGCGCAATGATATTACGCAGCGCCTGAAAATAGTCCCCAGCTAAGTAACTTCCAATAAGCCTATTTCAGGCGCTGCGTAATATCATTGCGCCTGCTGCACCCATGGTACGGCAGCAAAGTTCCTTGATTATTACGCCGGAGTGAGAGTATAGTTCCTAGCCATATCGGCCTAGAAAATCGTAAATTTTCATTTTCCGTCGGTCTTGGTACACGATATAACTACAAAAGAGTCAAGTTTTAAATAGGAAAAATATCGAAACTCTTTGGTAATTTTTGAGCGATATGCTAACGGTCTAATCAGATTCAATGATTTATGCTAAGCTACAGCTAAAAGTGCTACCGCCAGACCCGGAGATCGACTGAATGGATTCGAAAACGGTAAAACTCAACTGTTTAACTCTAGGGGAGTTGGAAAATTAGCCTATTTTCAAAAATAGTGGAGTGTTCCTTTAAACAGCATAAATAACACATCGGTATTAATAAATCTGTTCAGTATTCCGTGTGAAGTAGTGCCCTCTAAATTTGAATATAGATAGCATCAATTTCAGATGCCACTTGGTTTGATATTTTGCAATCTGCAATGACATTTAGACATTTTTAAGTGTCCACATACAAATTAAGGCCTCTCAATGTTGTATAACTGAGGCTTAATAGTGCATTCTGTTATCCAGACAGTCCTATATTTCCAGAGTTGTAAAAAGTCTCATCTTGTGCTTTGAGTATGGCCATTGTAGTTCTGAGACTGAATGACCGCACTGTGTGGGCTATTGTGTTCTCATTGCTTTCAGTCTAAACCAACATCTCACCCACAATGACACAGCGCTCAAGAGAATGAATAACGCTGACTGTTCGGAGTGCTGAGGGTCAGACAGTAACACTGTTTTAAAGCTTCATGTGTTTCTTAGCTGAAGCCATTTGTACTTTTATTTAAAAATCTGAGCTCATTTTGGAGTCTAACATCATACATTTATAGTCAGCAAGCAAGTAGCCTAATCCATGATTATTTAGTTTGCGACTCGAGTCAAGTCATGTGACTCGAGTCCCCCACCTCTGTGTTAAAGCAATCAGTTCAGTTCAGTTTAGATTTGTTTTGTTTTGTAGAATGAGGGTCAGGAAATTAATACTTTTATTTATCAAGGATGCATTAAATTAATCAAAAGTGACAGTAAAGACTTTTATAATGTTACAAAAGATTTCTATTGCAAATAAATGCTGTTTTTTACTTTCTATTCACCAAAGAATCCTTAAAAAAAAGTATCACTATTTTTACAAAGATATAAACAGTACAACTTTTCATAATACAATATTGTGAAATATTGATAATAATAATAATAATAAATGTTTCTTGAGCAGCAAACCCGCATATTAGTATGATTTCTGAAGGATCATGTGACACTGAATACTGTAGTAATGATGCTGAAAATCAGCTTTGCATCACAGGAATAAATTGCATTAATTATTATTAAAATATATTAAAATAGAAAACAATTTTAAATGGTAATAATATTTCTCAATATTACTATATTTTTGATCAAATAAATGCACAAAAGAGACTTTTAAACTAAATTAAATCTAACTGACCCGAAACTTTTGAATTGCAGTGAAAGCTGACATTTCCATCATGGGATTCGTAAAATGTTTGTTGGTGATGCTTGTATATCACAATATCTACTTTTTATTGAAACGCCATTTAAAAAATAAAACAGAAAAAATAATCGTCCTTAAAACAAGTTTCCAAATTAAAGGTAGACCTGTCTACCAAAATGAATTTGCTTCATTTGGACTGAAATTAGCTTTCAGTTCAGTTAGTGAGTCAAATGTTGATTCAGTAACTGCTTGGGCTGATTCTGTGAGTCAAGTACTCATCAAACTGATTCAAACTGGTAACTCCTGAATTTTGGGATGATTCATTGCAAGAACTCAATGATTCATTGCAATACTCAATGTTAGGAAACAGAAATATTCTAGTAATAGTATATGGAAATGATCTTAAATCTTTTTGTAAGTGTATTTGTGTGTGTAAGCGTTTCCTTCTTGATACGTGTGTGTGTGTGTGTGTGTGTGTGTGTGTAGAGCTGGAAAGGCCTCTGACGGAGCCGCAGATCAGGGTGGTTTGTAAGCAGTCTCTGGATGCTCTGCAGTATCTGCATGAGAACAAGGTGATCCACAGAGACCTGAAGGCTGGAAACATCCTGCTCACCCTCGACGGAGATGTCAAACTGGGTGAGAGAGACTACAAAGAGGAACTGAGGAGGGTCATTTACATGACAGACTAAACCGCAGCTAAAATAAACTTTACGTCAGTGACCAGATGTAAATTATTCTGTGATGCTGGGTTGTAAAAATTCTGAATGTCATTGCATTAGACAATAAAATATCAAGACAAGCACTGTTTATTTTATGTAAAGGTGGCACAAGCATGTTCCCAAAAAGAACATTTTCTGTTTTTCAGCGGACTTTGGAGTGTCTGCCAAGAACACAAAGACCATCCAGCGAAGAGACACCTTCATTGGAACCCCTTACTGGCAAGTTAGAGTTTCATAAAATGAAGCTACTTGTACTTACACACATTGACGTTGCTGACACATTGATATCACTCTCTTTTATTCAGGATGGCTCCAGAGGTCGTGATGTGTGAGACGTCTAAGGACAGGCCGTATGACTATAAGGCTGATATTTGGTCTCTAGGAATCACTCTGATCGAGCTGGCCCAGATCGAACCACCCAACCATGAGATGAACCCAATGAGAGTTCTGCTCAAGATCGCCAAAGCTGAACCGCCTACTCTCCAGCAGCCTTCAAAATGGTACAAAACCCAGTGAATTATATGAATAGTATGACACAGACTGCTGTTTTTTTTATTTTTTTACTATATGTGACCTGTTGGAAAATGAGCCCATTTTCAAAAATAGTGGAGTGTTCCTTTAAGTCGCTGGGGTATATTTGTAGCAACAGCCAAAAATACAGTGTATGGGTCAAAATTATTGATTTTTTTTTATGCCAAAACTTATTAGGATATTAAGTAAAGATCATGTTCCATGAACATATTTTGTAAATTTCCTACCGTAAATATATCAAAACTTAATTTTTGATTAGTAATATGCATTGCTAAGAACTTCATTTGGACAACTTTAATTTAACGATTTTATCAATATTTAGATTTTTTTTTTGCTCCCTCAGATTCCAGATTTTCAAATAGTTGTGTCTCAGCCAAATATTGTCCTTTCCTAACAAACCATACATCAATGGAAAGCTTTATTATTCAGATGATGTTTAAATCTTTTTTAAAAAATTTACCTTTATGACTGGTTTTGAGGTCCAGGGTCACGTATATTAAAATTTTTGGTTACACTTTACTGAAATTCTTTATATAATATGCATTATAGAAGTAGTTTTAATGCATTAATTATGCCTTGTAATGCACTTTACAATGCATTGTATGATCTCATGAATAATTGTAACCACAGTTATAATAAATTATAATATTTATTTGTTCATTGTTACAACTTGTATTGTTTTATAATGCAATAAAAACATGACAAACAAACCTTTAAATGTTATAATGCAGTTTAATTTTGATTAAAATTATTTATGAAAAGATGTAATGCATTACAACAATCATTATAAATGCCTTTAGAATGCATTATACATAAAGGCTTTAAGTAAATGTTACCACATTTTTATTTTACTGAGCCAGCAGATTTCAAAATGGTATTTTACAAAAGCTTTTTTATTTGAAAATAATAATAATCATTTTAGTAAAAGTAAATTGATGTTTTTTATTATTTTTAATAATTACATTTTATTATTTATTATTATTTTATTTTTTTAACTTAATTTCTTTCTTTTTTTTCATTGTATTTGACCTATTTTAATACTTAAAAAGTAATATTAAATATTAGTGTTTTCAGTGATTAACTTTAAGTAAGCTATTAATGACAGCGACAATAATCTAAATGTAGAAATAGGGCAAGTGAGCCTCCGCAATTAAATATACAGTAAATTAAAATTAATTAAAAAATTGTGCATGTATGTATTATTTCATATTAATTAAAAAATTGTGTTTATATGCGTGTGTGTGAATGTGCATGTGTATATACGCGATCAATGAAAGTCACTATTGGAAACAATGATTTCTCATGATCTCAAAAATTAAATGCTTAAATGACTGAAATTAGTTTTGTAGACAAATATGATTATGCAATATAATTTTTTTTATTTTATGCATTTATTTTATTATTATTTATTTTCAATTTATTTTTTTATTTTTTTTACCCGTACTTCCGTTTGGTTTATTTAGTTGTAATGACTTCTCTCTGCATCCTTCTGCAGGTCTCCTAAGTTTAAAGACTTCCTGAAACATGCGCTGGATAAGAACGTGGACAACAGGTGGAGCACAGCACAACTTCTTCAGGTGAATTGACATGTCCCACCTTTATTTCAACACTTATAATCTAAGACCACATCTACACAAACTTGACCTAACCTGAGTCAGTAAAGCAGCAGTCTCTCAGCATAAAAGCCCTGCTCTGCTGCTCGTCCGCCTGCTGCTCCAGGTGGCCTTTCTTGCCACATGAATCAGCAGCTGTTCATTTAGAAGTTTGTCTGTGTCAGGCACTTTCTGCACCAGCCTTCATCTTAAGAACTGACGTCAGCAAAGGAGATTTTCTTTCCAAGGCTTTAAGTAGGCCAGCCCTAGCACTGACGGCGAGCATATACACACACGCTTACTTACAAGCGCTAAACGCTGCAGTTAGAGGCTGAATGGGGTTGAAAATACAGAACTCCAGTTTTCCTCTAATTAAGGTGATCATATCAAAGAAGCTGCACATTCTCAGACCAGCTATAGACTGTCTGCATCAGGTCTCAAAGCCAAGAAAGGTAAGAAATGGAGACTTGGATCCTCATGGGACATTGATTTTGTTGTGCTCGTTTTCCTCTTGTCTGTTGAACACTTGAGTTTCAGGCATTTCCTGTTTGGCCTATCTTATGACAATGCAATAAATCTTAATGGTCCTAAATTAGGCCTTATTTTCTTAATGCCAAATAGTGATGCACATTGTATCATTATCATATTGGTTATCATACTAGATGTGGTTCTTGTCCACCTTACCATGTTGGTTTAATTGTGGAGGCTCATTTTTATTTATTTTTGCATTTAAATTTGGCTGTCAAAGTTAATTTTTAAAAACACTAATAATTTAATGGCACTGTTTATTTATTTATACTTGGCCACCAGTTCCAACAGGCTTCAAAATGATATGAGACGAAGGTTGATTCATGTCAAATATATTTTCTCGTTTGCTTTTTTTTTTACCTTGGCATTTGGCTGAATTTGTTTCTCAAGATCTTTGAAAACACTAATAATTTAATAGTATTGTTAGATGTAATCTTTTGCAAATCTCAAAATGCATATTCATTTTTCATATTGCACAATACAATTTTGTACAGTAAAATGTACTATGTACATATGTAATATATATATATATATATATATATATATATAATAAAAAAATATTTTATTGTTATGTATTTATTTAATATTTTCTGAAAATTGTCAATAATAGATTAAATTAAAACTTGTACATTAAATATGTTGGACGATGCTTGCTTTAAAGAATTTATCTGGAACAGAGTAATCTGACTTTTTCTGAATGTTGAGATTAATACCGTCTTGTTAATATTTGCATGTATAATTTTAATGTTTATTGTAGTAAAAGTAGTTTCCTTCATCTGTGCAGCACCCGTTTGTGAGTAGTGTGACTGACAGCCGACCCCTGCGGGAGCTCATCGCTGAGGCCAACGCGGAGGTCACAGAGGAGATAGAGGACCTGAAGGAGGAAGAGGAGGAAGAAGATCATGAAGGAAACCTGGTAAGAGATTATAGGAACTGCTAACAAATTTAGAACACTTTTCAGAGATAGATTAAATCTAGTGTAGACTACTAAGTCTGGATGAATATTCAGCGTACTGTTGGCCTGTAGAATGTCCTGAGGTACCCTTTGCATTTATTACATAGCAGTATGTTTCTATTTTTCCTTCTTCAGTATTGTGCTAAAATGTTTAAAACGATCTTTCCCTCAGCTGCTTCCTGGACACAAACGCGCACCATCTGACGCTAGCGTTGGAAGCTCTGAAGACGAGAAGCTTCCGCAGTCACCATCCACGTTGGCGTCTGTTCCTGAGAAGATTGAAGAGGCCTCTACACCCAAACTTCCAGATGGTAATGTTACAACTGGAATAAAGAAGGAAGAACCACCTCTGAAGGTGAGTGAGAACCACATTGAGGATGTAGAAGAACCTGGATCTAAGCAACAAGCTGTGGAAGTATCTCCAAAGGAATCTCAAGAACCTAAAGCTGAAGAGAAGCCTGTAGAACCAGAGACTCCTGCTGATACAATAGTCCAAACGGAGGAGCAAAGAGCCAAACCTGATGGAGAGAAACTGGAAGAGGAAAAGGAGGTGGTGGGCAATGGTGAACTCATAAAGGAAGTGTCTGCATCGGACATTTCTTCATTGGAGACACCAACAGAACCTGTTAAACAAGCTGTGCCTGATGAACCTATTCCAACATCTCCATTGAAAGAAGAAGAGAGTGTTGAGGGAAAGGAGAAACCTGAACTGGTGGAGAAACAAAGCCCAGTGAAGACCAGGTATGTGAAGAAGGAGGACTCAGACTCTGGGATCAGTTCTTCAGCTGACAACAGCAGCATAGACCTGAACTTATCCATCTCCAGCTTTATTAGCAAATCCAAGGAGCCAGGAACCGTCTCTCAGCAGGTGAGAAACAACTTCTGTCATTACACTAGTTTTGGGATCTAGCAAAAATTGAACATTTTCAGTGGAGCCTCTGATTTAAATTTTAGTGTTGTTACACCTGGTTTGATTCTTATTTTATTTTTTATTTTTTAAAGGGCACCTATTATGCCCCTTTTTACAAGATGTAATATTGGTCTTGGGTGTCTCCAGAATGTGTCTGTGAAGTTTCAGCCCAAAATACCCAACAGATCATTTATTATAACAGCTGGAAAATGTCATTTTTGGGGTGTGTCTAAAAAAAAAAGAGCTGTTTTGGAGTGTATCGCTTTAAATGCAAATTAGCTGCATATTCCCGCCCCGTCTCCAGAAGAGGGCGTCGCGTATATGTCTCTCTGCATTGCATATCTGCAGCAATAAACAGACGGTAGAAGCAGCATAACTGAGAGCGAGAGAACCGGTGTAGTGCCGAAATTTGTACCCTGCCAGATAATGCATCCCCTAGTATTGGTAGGTTTAGGAGTAGGTGTGGGGGAGGAGTTAGGATTAGGGGTGGGGTTGGGATTAGGCAATCAGGTAGGGACTTCAACGAGGGGGTGCATAATCTGGGGGGCATCCAGACCCCCCTACAAGGGTCACATTCCGAACTATGTCACCTTTTTGACCTCTTGTGAGTTTGCAGGTATGTATATAATGTGACGTCACATTGCATGAGAATCAAAACGGCAGGCCTAGTGAGACTGACTTGGTTTAAAGGGGATTAAAAAATGAGGAGTGGGTGAATTTTTATTATTGTAGGGTGGTTGTGTTCTCACATTTATGTCTAAACACCATGTAAAAGTGGATTTTGCATAATAGGGGCCCTTTAAATCAGTTCAAACAGTTCAGTGAATCAGTTCAAAACTTTGATTAAATTATTTGCTCATGTTGTCTCAAAAATGTTCCCAGTGTGGCATTTTTCTTTTATTAAAATGTTTTAATATTACAAATATAATAGATTGAAAAAAAATATTGTGAATTGTTAATTTAGTAAAAATTTTATGAAAAAAAAGTATTTCTTAATGGGGGCAAGTTGTAAAATTGTAAACCTTTTAAAAAAAAAATTTCAGGCTTTATTGACTTATTTATTTATTAACTGAGTTTTAAGTTAATTTTGTGAAAATTGTTAAAAATGACATGCCAATTATTTATTTGTTTGTTTGTTTGTTAATGGGTTCAAGTTTAAACATTTAATCACGGACAATGACACCAAAAGCGAGGAGATGAGATTCCTCAGGTGAGACATCAGCTGCTTAACTGCTCTGAGATGATTTGCATGTTTGCTTCATGTTTGCATCATATTTGCATTCATTGGTAATGACTTTAGAAATTTTATGATAAAAGCTTCTGCCTCTTCTGCTTGTAACAACATCACTTTTGGTAAATGTACACAGACTGCTAGTGGCCTTAAGTGTTCAATCATCTTTCATGGCAAGACGGAATAAAAGAGGTGATGTGCTGTTTTTTTTAAAAACTACAAAGCGACAAATAGTTTCCTGTGCAGTGTTTATAAGTGCAGTTTTCCAACACCAGATGTGCTAAAGGGAAAACAAGCGTGATACTTCCTGTTCCTGCCTGGACGAGCATCCTGTTAGACTGGATAGTGCCATTTCTAAAAAAAAAAACTCTGCCGTTTTCATACTTAAGCAATTTTAAATCAGCATTTGTAGGTGGATTTATTTGATTGCATAAAAAGCTAAAAATGTCATATAAAGGTAATTTAAATACTGCACATTCTTAAAAATAAAGGTTCCAAAAGGAAATGTTTCCCCCAAAAAATACCATTTTAACATTTTAAAATCTTGTTCCACTTATATAAAGAACTTTTTATGGAATGGAAAGGTTCCGTGGTACTTCATGGAATGATAGATACAAATAAAGAACCTTTATTTTTTTTTATTGTTTGATCAGTGTAAAATGTGTTTCAGGCGTCAGGAGCTGAGGGAACTGAGACTTCTTCAGAAAGAGGAGCAGAGAGCCCAACAGCAGCTCAGCAACAAACTCCAGCAGCAGAGAGAGCAGATCTACAAACGCTTTGACCAGGAAGTCACGGTGAGCAAGAACAAACAAAGATATTAAAGAGATAGTTCACCCAAAAATGAAAATGCTGTCATTAATTACTCACCCTCATGTCGTTCCAAACCCACAAGACCTTCGTTCATCTTCGGAACACAAATTATATTTTTGATGCATTCCGTGAGTTCTCTGTCACCTCCCATAGACAGCAATGTAATTACCACGATCAAGGTCCAGAAACGTAGTAAGGACAACGTTAAAATAATCCATGTGACATCAGGGGTTCAACCGTAATTTTACAAAGCTACGAGAATACTTTTTGTGCGCAAAGAAAACAAAAATAACGACTTTATTCAATAATTCGTCTCCTCCGCGTCATTTTGGAGAGTATCACATACGTATGCAACGTATGTACGCGAATGCGCTGTTTACGTATTTTACGCTTTGATCTGAACGTAAACGATGTATCCGCGTACATATGTTGCATACGTTGTTTACGTATGTGATACTCTCCAAAATGGTGCTATGGGGTGATGCGGAGGAGAAGAATTGTTGAATAAAGTAATTATTTACGTTTTATTTGCTCACAAAAAGTATTCTCGTAGCTTCGTAAAATTACGGTTGAACCACTGATGTCACATGAATTATTTTAACGGTGTCCTTACTACGTTTCTGTGCCTTGATTGTGTTAGGACCCATGCTGTCTATGGGAGGGTCAGAGAGCTCTTGGAATGCATCAAAAATATCTTAATTTGGTTAGGTTTTACGGGTTTGGAATGACATGAGGGTGAGTAATAAATGACAGAATTAACATTTTTGGGTGAACTATCCTTTTAAGATCTGAATCACTGTTTCATTGCTGGAACTGGATCATATTAAAACAAGTACAATCAAACAACTATTCACTGGGATCACTCTTAAAATGGCACCCTGAAACCATGCACTGTTGCCACATAAGAAACCAAAAGCCTGTCAAGATACTCTGTTGGTGTGATTTTCAGGTGTTTATTACACTAATAGCCTTAGTTAGAATAATCAAACATTGTTTGCACTCCTGAGACTAATGGTGACACCAAAACCAGAAACACTGGCAAGAACCTTACTGAGTTACGTCACATGCTCAGCAGTGTCGTTATATTTAGGGTGCGTAATCTGTGTCTGATTATTAAGGGACGGTCAGTATTTTAAGCTACATTACCTGGAACCGATTTCTGTCTGTGTCTTCTGACTGTCTTCTCCCTACTTATTTCTATTTGTCTCAGTATTTTGAGTGGCTCTGTAGGAGCAATACTTGTAGATATGCTTTATAATTTCTGTTTTCTCGTCTTGTCAGAGTAAGAAGCGTCAGTATGATACGGAGGTGGAGAATATGGAGCGGCAGCAGAAACAGACAATCGAGCGTCTGGAGCAGGATCACACCGAGCGCCTCAGAGACGAGGCCAAACGCATTAAAGCTGAGCAGGACAAAGAGCTTTCCAAGTTTCAGAGTACGCTCAAGAACCGCAAGAAAGAGGTATGTTGTTCCCCGCTTTCCAGAAGATGCATACTGTTTTTGATTTTAATCATTTGTGAGCTCATCTCCCAGATTGCTTCTGATGTGTCCTCAGCTAAATACAATTTTCGCGGCCCGAGCTTCACCCTGTAAAATCCACCCAAATCTTCTTTATCTTCCCTCTCTGACTGACATTTCTCTGGGGGGTGCAGGAGCTCTCGCCTAAACATGTGAGCATCCTGAAACATATTAGGGAGGATCTAATACAGACTCCTTGTGAGGAGGTAACATCCAAAAACATATTTTCTAAGGTTTTTCCGGTAACACTTTACAATAAGGTTCATTAGTTAAACATTAGTTAATGTATTAATTAACATGAACTAACCATGAGCAATACATTTGTTACTGTATTTACTAATCTACGCTCACGTTAGTTAATAAAAATACAGATGTTCATTGTTAGTTCATGTTAGTTCACAGTGCATTAACTAATGTTAACAAGATTTTAATAATGTATTAGTAAATGTTGAAATTAACATTAACAAAGATTAATAAACGCTGTATAAGTGCAGTTCATTATTAGTTCATGTTAACTAATGTAGTTAACTAATGAACCTTATTGTAAAGTGTTACCGTTTTTCCACTACTTGGTTTTTCTAGATGAGGCACATTTTGGCTGTTTTAGTTTGTGTAGTGAATGTTTTCTTTCAGATCTGTTTTTTTTTAATGAAGTAATTATTTATGTTTTATTTGCTCACAAAAAGTATTCTCGTAGCTTCGTAAAATTACGGTTGAACCACTGATGTCACATGAATTATTTTAACGGTGTCCTTACTACGTTTCTGTGCCTTGATTGTGTTAGGACCCATGCTGTCTATGGGAGGGTCAGAGAGCTCTTGGAATGCATCAAAAATATCTTAATTTGGTTAGGTTTTACGGGTTTGGAATGACATGAGGGTGAGTAATAAATGACAGAATTAACATTTTTGGGTGAACTATCCTTTTAAGATCTGAATCACTGTTTCATTGCTGGAACTGGATCATATTAAAACAAGTACAATCAAACAACTATTCACTGGGATCACTCTTAAAATGGCACCTTGAAACCATGCACTGTTGCCACATAAGAAACCAAAAGCCTGTCAAGATACTCTGTTGGTGTGATTTTCAGGTGTTTATTACACTAATAGCCTTAGTTAGAATAATCAAACATTGTTTGCACTCCTGAGACTAATGGTGTCACCAAAACCAGAAACACTGGCAAGAACCTTACTGAGTTACGTCACATGCTCAGCAGTGTCGTTATATTTAGGGTGCGTAATCTGTGTCTGATTATTAAGGGACGGTCAGTATTTTAAGCTACATTACCTGGAACCGATTTCTGTCTGTGTCTTCTGACTGTCTTCTCCCTACTTATTTCTATTTGTCTCAGTATTTTGAGTGGCTCTGTAGGAGCAATACTTGTAGATATGCTTTATAATTTCTGTTTTCTCGTCTTGTCAGAGTAAGAAGCGTCAGTATGATACGGAGGTGGAGAATATGGAGCGGCAGCAGAAACAGACAATCGAGCGTCTGGAGCAGGATCACACCGAGCGCCTCAGAGACGAGGCCAAACGCATTAAAGCTGAGCAGGACAAAGAGCTTTCCAAGTTTCAGAGTACGCTCAAGAACCGCAAGAAAGAGGTATGTTGTTCCCCGCTTTCCAGAAGATGCATACTGTTTTTGATTTTAATCATTTGTGAGCTCATCTCCCAGATTGCTTCTGATGTGTCCTCAGCTAAATACAATTTTCGCGGCCCGAGCTTCACCCTGTAAAATCCACCCAAATCTTCTTTATCTTCCCTCTCTGACTGACATTTCTCTGGGGGGTGCAGGAGCTCTCGCCTAAACATGTGAGCATCCTGAAACATATTAGGGAGGATCTAATACAGACTCCTTGTGAGGAGGTAACATCCAAAAACATATTTTCTAAGGTTTTTCCACTACTTGGTTTTTCTAGATGAGGCACATTTTGGCTGTTTTAGTTTGTGTAGTGAATGTTTTCTTTCAGATCTGTTTTTTTTTTTTTCTTTCTTGAT